CCGACTTAATGCACTTAGAGCATTGTGTGTGTGTGGGGGGAGACACAATCTACCTTATAAAAACGATTTCTAAACAACCGACTTCTATAAATTCAACCTAATTTCGTAGTGTAGACATACCCCTAGTTTTTATTTGTACACTGCAGGAATAAGACAGTCTGGGTAGCAAGTGGGGCCACTCCACACTGGATTAATAGAACAGTACCAATGCTAGGAATGAGCAGTGTGACAACACATGCTTTGTGTATCAATAAAACTAGACTAAAATCTGCATGTACAATTTAAAAGTCTATCCCACCTGGATGATAAATAACATTTGACAGATACAGCTCCCTTCATCTCAAAGGCTTGCAAAGAAAGGGCTTTTCAGACTGAGAGGATAATTGTCCCTCCACTATAATTCAGTTCTCTTGGAGGTGCAACCCAGCAGCCATTCTTACGTTAGACTCAGGGCCGGCTCCACGCACCAGCCGACCAAGCATGTGCTTGGGGTGGCACCTTGTAAGGGGCGGCTATTCTTGGGGTGGTGGTGGGCGCTCGGGGGTTTGGGATTTTTTTGGTTCGGCGGAGCGGCGGTCGAGGTTTTTGTTGTTATTGTTTCAGCCGGGCGGTGCTCGGGGGGGAGGAGGGGGTGTTTCAGCAGTGCAGCGCTAGGGGGGGGGGTGTGTTTCGGCAGTGCGGTGCTGGGAGGGGTTTTTTGGTGGCACGGCGTGGCGCTCGGGGGGAGGGTGTTACGGTGGGGCAGCGCTTCTTTTTTTTTTTTTTTTTTTGCTTGGGGTGGCAAAAAAGTTAGAGCCGGCCCTGGTTATACTTGTGTGCCTTGGAGGAGATTAGCATGCTCCCTCCCAACCCTTTAAGAGGTGTGGGAAGGCTGATCTATTTTTACTAAAATTAAGTTTATTTCTACAAAGTTACTGAGTGCTATTTTAATTGTGTGGCCTCTGCAGCCATCTAAATCTAGTGATCCAGCACCTGTAATCACCAAGAAGCTCAGAATCTCTGCTTTCTAAAGACACCAAGCTTGAGCTAACATTCCAAGAGGCTGCAGAGATGTAAGAGTTACAGGAAGTTACTGAAACCTTTTTTAATCCACAAAACCTTCATAACTTTTCTTAAATCCCTCCATAGGATCCCAGAATAACACCCCTGCCCTCTAGTGATGGTGCTGCGAAGGCAAGACTGCTGCAGTGATCATGGCATGTTGGGAAATGGATGCTGAGTTAGAGTTGGGAGGGCACGGAACAAGTGAACTTAAAGAGAGAGTGGGATGGAAGGGAGGACCTGAGATTGCTATGGTAGTAAAACCAAGCAGAAAATGTGGGGAAGTTTGTGGGCTTTGTTATATGGACACTCCCCTTGAAGTGTGTGTGTGTGTATTTGGTAAAGGTCGGAACCCACAATGTAGGGGTTTATTTAAATTAATGATTGTCAGTCCATCCAATTTTAGAAGTGTAACTGGGTGAGTGGGGGGAACCATAATAAGCTATAGCTGACTACAGCTGGAAAAGCCACCTGCAAAAGGCAATGTTAGAATAGATGCCAGTTGCAGATTTCTCTGTCTCCCACTTTAAGTCTCACAAGATCTAAGAGGACTGTTAGTTTCAATCCAGCTTGGAAACTTCAATATCTCAGTCCAATATATGGAGATACACCTATCTTATAGAACTGGAAGGGACCCTGAAAGGTCATCGAGTCCAGCCCCCTGCCTTCACTAGCAGGACCAAGTACTGATTTTGCCCCAGATCCTTAAGTGGCCCCCTCAAAGATTGAACTCACAACCCTGAGTTTAGCAGGCCAATGCTCAAACCACTGAGCTCTCCCTCCCCCCTTGACTTCATCAGGTCACTTTCCTTTCATTAGAAAAAACAAATTGGAAACAATTTTTATATGAAAACTAGAAATAAAATAACTACATTAAATCACTTTATAATTTGGAAGATCCCAGTCATCTATAACCAGCAGTACTTGGTGGTACGGCAGTTTTGTGGCTGTTTTTTGGTGTTTTTAATTTCCCAAATTATAAATTGTTATTTAAACAGTCAGCACACAGCTAAGTGTAGCTAAAAAATCCAGAGTTTCATATATTTAAAAAAATAATTAACATTTTCCTCCCTAATGCAGTACCTGACCTCTGGAACGCTGGGGCTACATCTTACATCAGACATTTGGTTCTTAGTTAGTTTAGAGAAGAATTACCTCAGTCAATCACTTCTACTCAAAAGATGACAGCATGTGAAAGTGAAAGAGAGAAAGTTATACGGTCAGACTTGGAAAGAAAATAGACTCCAGCACACAAAAAGACAAACAATGAAACACCAGCTAACACTTGTGCAAACATGTACATTCACACTGAGAGTAGGGCTGGTGTACATGCAGAAGTAATGGGTGTCTATTTCAGCCCGGTAGTCCTCAGGAACTCACACAGATCCGACCTACCACTATGGTAGTGGAAACTTAACAGTCCCTCTCTGGCAGCGTAGGGCCTTGCGTGTTACAATGTTATCATTGTGCAGGTTTCTCTGTCTCCTTAGGAGAAAAGATTTTCCAGGACTTGAGGATTCTCTTGCCTTTGCCTCCCGCACTAGGCAAATATCCTGAGACTAACGTGCCAAATTCATAACAAGTTTGGAGTGACAGACTGACTGCTTGATGGGTAGCTTTGGGTGATTAACATACAGCCTGTCTTCAAAAATGGACTGGGAGGCATTCCTTTAAATTAGGGCTGTCGATTAATCGCAGTTAACTCACGCGATTAACTCAAACAAATTAATCACAGTTTTAATCGCACTGTTAAATAGAATACCAAATGAAATTTATTAATTATTTTTGGGTGTTTTTCTACATTTTCAAATATATTGATTTCAGTTACAACACAGAATACAAAGTGTACAGTGCTCACTTTATATTATTATTTTTATTACAAATATTTGCACAGTAAAAAGATAAACCAAAGACATAGTATTTTTTAATTCACCTCATACAAGTACTGTAGTGCAATCTCTTTATCGTGAAAGTGAAGCTTACAAATGTAGATTTATTTTTGTAACATAACTGCACTCAAAAACAAAATGCAAAACTTTAGAGCCTACAAGTCCACTCAGTCCTACTCTCATTCAGACAATTGCTAAGACAAACAAGTTTTTTTACATTTACGGAAGATAATGCTGTCCACTTCTTATTTACAGTGTCACCAGAAATTGAGAACAGACGTTCACATGGGACTTTTGTAGCTGGCATTGCAAGGTATTTACGTGCCAGATATGCTAAACATTCATATGGCCCTTCATGCTTCGGCCGCCATTCCAGAGGACATGCTTTCATGCTGATGACGCTTGTTAAAAAAAATAATGCGTTAATTAAATTTGTGACTGAACCCCTGGGGGAGAATTGTATGTCTCCGGCTCTATTTTACCCACATTCTGCCATATATTTCATGTTATAGTAGTCTCAGATGATGATTCGGCAAATGTTCATTTTAAGAACACTTTCACTGCAGATTTGATAAAACACAAAGAAGGTACCAATGTGAGATTTCTAAAGATAGCTACACTTGGCCCAAGGTTTAAGAATCTGAAGTGCCTTCCAAAATCCGAGAGAGATGAGGTGTGGAGAATGCTTTCAGAAGTCTTAAAAGAGCAACACTCCAATGTGGAAACTACAGAACCTGAACCACCAAAAAAGAAAATCAACCTTCTGCTGGTGGCATTTGACTCAGATAATGAAAATGAACATGCGTCGGTCCGCACCGCTTTGGATTATTATCGAGCAGAACCCGTCATTAGCATGGAAGCATGTCCTCTGGAATGGTGGTTGAAGCATGAAGGCACATATGAATCTTCCGCGCATCTGGCATGTAAATATCTTGCGACACCGGCTACAACAGTGCCATGAGAACACTTTGTTCTCACTTTCAGTAACACTGTGAACAAGAAGCGGGCAGCATTATCTCCTGCAAATGTAAACAAACTTGTTTGACTGAGCGATTGGCTGAACAAGAAGTAGGACTGAGTGGACTTGTAGGCTCTAAAGTTTTACATTGTTTTATTTTTGAATGCAGTTATTTTTTGTACATAATTCTACATTTGTAAATTCAACTTTCATGATAAAGATATTGCATTACAGTACTTGTATGAGGTGAACTGAAAAATACTATTTCTTTTTTACAACGGAAATATTTGTAATAAAAAATAAATATGAAGTGAGCATTGTACACTTTGTATTCTGTTTTATCATTGAAATCAATCTATTTGAAAATGTAGAAAACATCCAAAAATATTTAAATAAATGTTATTGTATTATTGTTTAACAATGCGATTAATCACGATTAATTTTTTAAATTGTGATTAAATTTTTTTAATCGCTTGACAGCCCTACTTTAAATTCAAGCTCCTGTACTGTCTATTCACTGCACAGAATGCATTAATGTGATCCTTCCCCATCACACATCCACCCCAAACCCACCTGTACAATGAGAGAAAGAAAAGCCAGATCCACAGCAAGAAGTCAGCTCAGTACAGCCCCGGAGTGAGGCATTTGTCCTACTGATGCAGTGTAATATTACAAAATATGATCAAGTCCAGCAAAGTGCCCTAAGAGCGATCTGTTTTTCCAACAGACATAGGTAAATATGCTCGATGATCAAAACACCAGATTCCTGATTTATGGAAATTAGTTTTGTACAGAGCTGCTGACATGCCTCACTGCAGTTGCCACCAGTTCTGTCTACAGGAAGCATCCCATACTCTGCCCACAAAGCATCTCATGCTCTGTAGGACTGTACACTTTTGCATAAGGCACTAGCAGCTTCTCATCCTTCACTATTGGTAAAACAAACACATCAGAGGCATTTCAAACACCCTTCTTCACCTTTCCTAATATCCAGAGGCTGTATTCTGACCTTGGACTGCTGCTTTTGCATTGCCAGGTGTGCTGTGGCTAATGTCAAAACTCCTATATATTAAAAGTGGAAAAGAACATAAATGTATATTCTACGTTCTTACCATTGCCCATTGCCTGGCTTTGATCCTCATTTGATTATAGCTACGCTCTTCAGCATACAGTGCACTCATGAATGAGCCAATGGAAGTTCCTCCAATCATATCAACTGGGATGCCTGCTTCGATCAGTGCCCTGATAATTCCCACCTGGGAGCACCCCCTGTGTCAGAAGAAAACAAAACAAAACAAAAAAACACTATCAGACAAGCAGAATTGTTAAAGGAAAATTAAAACTATTACCCTTTAAGGGAAAAGAGTCAGGAAAGCACATGTTTTGTGCGGTTTCAGAGTAGCAGCCGTGTTAGTCTGTATCCGCAAAAAGAACAGGAGTACTTGTGGCACCAAACCATCTGTGACACTATATGAAGCACAGAAATTAGAAATGAAAAAGGCACCAATCTGTCCATCCTCTCACCAGTGTAAAATTGTTCTCTACATTTTCAAGTGCTTTGCCCAGTCTAGTTTTAAATATCCTAGTGATAAAGTGAGTGCCATTTCCTTGGGAGACTCTTTTACCATCTATAAATCTCAGTTGTACAAACTTTCATCCCATTCCTGTCACTGCCCCTTGGATCACTTTACACAAATCCTCTCCCTCCTCGCTACACATCCTACACGTACTTCAAACAGCTACACGTATTTAATTCTTTCCATCTAAGGCCATGTCTACACTTAAACTGCTCCAGCAGCAGCTATGCCACTGGAGCACTTCAGCTTAGACACTCACTACAGCAACAGGAGAGGTTTCTCTGTCGGCGTAGTTAATCAGCCTCTCCAAGAGGCAGTAGCTAAGTCAATGGAAACATTCTTTATTGACCTAGTGCAGTTTACACTGGGCGTTGGGTCGGCTTAACTACGTTGCTCAGAGGGGTGGATTTTTCACACCCGAGTGACGTAGCTGAGTCAACATAATTTCTTAGTGTAGACCTGGCCTACCTTAATCTCCCCGAATGCTGGAATGCTTTGAGGCAGTCTCATCTTATTTACACTGGTGAAAACGGCTTTATTGGAGTCACTGTAGAGATACACTGTTGTAAACAAGGGCAGTATCCGACCCTTTTATTGCTCCTCTCTGAATTCTCCTCCCTACTCATCCATCACTACACCTTCTTGCCCGGGACTAAGCAGAGTATTCTAGCGATGGTCTCACCACTGCCAGAGAATCCTATCAGTTTTAAAACTCTAAATGGTGGCTGCCTTCAAGACTTGTTCCCTGCACCTGGTACTGATGAGTCTCCACGCTCACACACCTGCCCTGCACTTCAACCTCATGTCTGAAGTCAGCAACTTGCTTTTGCCAACGTTGCTTTTGACAAGCAGAAGGTCCTGCAGTGTGGAACTTGCTATCTGCTTAAATCCACAGCCTTTGTGGATTTTCTAAAATATGTTAATGAAGTATTTTAAAGCTTGTCTTTCTCAAAGGTTGTTTTTAGAAAGACCAGTACTGGCCCTAGGTCTGTCTTCTTTCCTTTAACCGCTCTGATTTTCCCTGTATAATCAGATACCCTCGTTCATGTGTGTATGTATTGTGACAAAGTTCCTCCTCTATCTTGGTGGGTCCTGCACTTATTGGTGGATTTTCTTGCCTCAGAGATTCACCATGTGGGTTGGGGAATAGCCCAGAGACCTTCCCTCTGGAAGAACCCACAGTCCAGGTCAATTAGGACATTTGGGGGGAACCCGGGCCCGCCCTCTACTCTGGGTTCCAACCTAGGGCCCTGTGGACTGCAGCTGTCTATAGTACCTCCTGTAACAGCTGCATGACAGCTACAACTCCCTGGGCTACTTCCCCACGGCCTCCTCCAAACACCTTCCTTATTCTCACCACAGGACCTTCCCCCTGGTGTCTGATAACGCTTGTGCTCCTCAGTCCTCCAGCAGCTCTCACTCTCAGCTCCTTGTGCCTCTTACTCCCAGCTCCTCACACTCACACCACAAACCGAAGTGAGCTCCTTTTTAAAACCCAGGTGCCCTGATTAGCCTGCCTTAATTGATTCTAGAAGCTTCTTCTTAATTGGCTCCAGGTGTCCTAACTAGCCTGCCTGCCTTAACTGGTTCTAGCAGGTTCCTGATTACTCTAGTACAGCCCCTGCTCTGGTCACTCAGGGAACAGAAAACTACTCATCCAGTGACCAGTATATTTGCCCTCTACCAGACTCCTGTACCCCACTGGTCTGGGTCTGTCACAATATGAAGAGGGTGGGATTTGATTTTGTTTTTATCACTCTGGATTTGTTTTTATTCTGTTGTATGGCTCCCTGAGCCTCCTGGGTCCATATAAATAACATTAGTATTATTTCTATGAGGTAATATCTTTTACTGGACCATTACCTCACCTAACTTTTCTCTCTAATATCCTGGGACAAACACAGCTACAACAACACTGCATACATATTATTTCTATGGACAAGCTACATCACCCATATGCCTTGTAATGACGGAGGACCCCCACCCCAAACAAAATGAACAGGATTTCCCTTTACACAGAGGTTATACATTTAGTTAGCTACCCCAGCAGTGAAAGGGTCAGAGGCATCCCTTCTGAAGCAAGGGCCTGTAAAAGAGAGTGGTGAGTATGGTTTTGTTGCTTTGAAGGGACTGTGTATAGACACTCATGCTGAACTATGCTTTTTTCACAAGAGACTGACCAGATGATGCTTCCGATTCCCAACCCCCCAGAGTGAAAGGTCTGAATGCAGGTTTGCTATTTAATTTAAAATTAAAAATACCTCATGAAACTTTTCAACAGCTAGTCAGAGCTGGATCTTCAAAACCTACAGTCCACATAAGTCAGGGCAGCCTGCCAAAGCAAGCTGCATGCAGAAGGAGGCAGTCAGCCAAGCAGCACGTGTTCTGTTCGCTAACAGCTAGCAGTTACCCTGTATATCCAGAGTAGGCCATCTGCATATTATGACAGAATAGTAAAAATTCAAGTCAAGAGCAAGACCTTCAGCTAGCTAACAACAACAACATGATGAAAGAAAGTGCAGGGCAGGACAGCAGTCACTGCACACCTCTTGTGGGATCAGGCAGTTTCACATGGGATCCTTATTTGTTTCATGGCGACACCAACAAATACAACATACCCATTGTGGAGGGACACAGGTAACTTGAGCCAGCACTGCACATACCACAAGCAGCAGAGGTATGCACTACATTAGGAATGCATTAGGAAAGCCTTGTTCCCCTAACTGCCAGAGGGCTGAGCACCCATTACTCCCATCAAGGTCAGTGGGAGTGATGAAATCAGGCCAGCACTACTTTAGATAGATCTGGGGGGTGAGCTATGTTGCAGAAAGGACCATACAGCTCTCAGACAGCTGTCCTTAACATCAAAGCCATTGGTATGGGCATACTTCAATAGTGCTTTCCCTCGGTTATATCTTACACTTGCCCCTCAGCACATGCAGGACTCTGGGTATCAAATAAAAGCTCTTTCCTTCTCGCTCCACCTCTCCCCTACATGTTAAGCTACTGCTGGATTATTCCAAAGGGCCTCCCTAAGGAATTCCTCTGGTTGAGAGGAAATGGGTCTAAATGGTTAGTGCAAAGAACCCAGGAGTAAGACTCCTGGATTCCGTTTTCAGCTCTCATCCTAACTAGCTGTCTGTCTTGAACAAGTCAAGTGATTAACCATTCTGGGCTTCAGTTTCCCTGAAGAGGGGGCGCAGTCCTCTCAGGGTCAATGCTTGCAAAGTGCTTGAGGGATCTCAAATAAATGGTGTTACATGCTGCAAGTGCAAAGTATTATTTGTCCCCCTAGCGATAATTACAAAGAGGTTACACTCTTATTTTCTGGGAAGAAGCATGGTGTGAGGGGGGGATAAAGGTATGTTCTCAGTATTCTCAGGACAAGCCTTTCTCACCCCAAAACATACCACCTCAGCCACTGGCTTCAAATTTGGAGTTTCACGTATGGGGGCGGGGGGGGGGTGGTGGAAATCAACGTGGAGCTAACTTCGCCTTTCTGGCAGAAGGTCTTGCAGAAAAATTCCTGGTCACAAATTTCTTAGTCCCCAGAGGTAAATGCCTCAGCATTTGTTAGCAGCTTTAAATGCGTGAAGAAAGAGCTTAACTGGTAAAAGGAAAAAAAATCGTTCAGAGACAAGTACACGTGCCCGCTACACACGTGCCCAGCCATGCTACAAATCAGTTACGGCTCGCTGGAAAAATGAGCAAATAGAGCAGGACATTTCAGATTAAACTGTCAGTAGGAATATAGACTGAGGTCAGATAACTGAAGGGAACAAAATTAATACAGAACAGATCCCACACGCTAAGATTTTCTCTTCCTTAAATTACATTTAAACTTCAATAGGATGTTCTCTGTCAGAGGGAATAAAAACATACAAGGGAGCATATGCTGAGCAGAATGGTCACTCACTTTCCACGCTGCCTGCGATTACTGACATAACATGGTAGAAATGCAGCAATCTAATACTGTATTAGCTTTCAAAGTCCATTTCAATTTCGGAAGGGAAGAGCCATTATAACTCAGAATTGAGTCTCCACATTATTTCACTCTCCTCCAATAGACTCATCAAGGTGAAATAAGCAGGTACCATTTCCTTTCAAATCATCATTTAAGATAAAATCAAGGTTAGGGATGCTGCAGAACTGCATTGTGTCTCTACCAAAAGCCATCTTGGATTTGGCAATACTGTCTAGGGTTACCATATTTTGTGCCTCCCAAAGGAGGACACTCCACGGGCCCGCCCCCGCCCCAACTCCGCCCCCTCCCCAAAGTCTCCGCCCCCTCCCCTGCTTCCCGCGAACATTTGAGTCGCGGGAAGCCTGAAGCAGGTAAGGGGGAGTGTGGGGGGAGGAGGCGCGGCCCAGGCTGGCCCCGGCCCTGGGGTGCCGG